CCTTAATGATAATTAGATACATAATTAATTTATATATTTCTATTTTCATAGATTACTTATTATCTGTCTTTTCTAATATGAATCACAATCCAGTACTTTATTCATTGTATGATACTGACACAGATTTCTTTTATAAATAGAGTTGATAGAATCGATGTATCTTGGCTGGTTTTGCAAAGTAATTGGATAGTGTATATATACTGTGTGTATGTGTGTGTGTAACATGTTTTCAACCTCTGAATCATTGATATTGTAATAAGCAATTAAATCTATATTTATAAGACAGTAAAAATGTTATTGGCAGGTGATTCTTCAATCCAGTGACAGATGAAAAGTAAGAACTGGAAGAAACCTGAAGCTAATGTAAAGAGACCCAACAAGTCAATATATCTTTATTAATATTTTTATTATGACATTCTGTGAAAGGGAAAATCATTAATTCATTTTTCCAAACAATATATATCTACACCAGTTACTATTACAGGTTGCTGCTTGCATGCTTAATGCTCACGGTTAAGGATTAATTTTCAAAGAAATTTAGACTATATTATTTGTATAATATAAGGTAACCAATGTGTACAATGCCTTACATTATACAAGAAGGTAATGAAGATGGTTTGTTGTGTAAATATATCTTTAAGAATTACAACAATTTCTTCCTTCAGGCAAAACAGATGTCCAAAGGATTTTCAGAATCAAAAACCTTATTATTTAAAAGATTAATATCCCATCTTACAGTATACAGCCCAAAGAACATATTTAAAAGAATTTCTAAAATTATGTACAATCAAACATACTATGTGATCATATAATAGGGGAGAATGCATTCCAAAAGCAGTAAATCCACCAATTATTGGAAGGAAGGAATTCTTAGAGATGATCTTAAAGGCTAAAACTGACTGCTATTGAAAAGACCATGTTACATAGCAATGTGACAGATTATAAGAGTAGGGCCTTTAAAAAAGACTTTAATTAAAACCCAGGCAGACTCATTTAGCTATCATCCTTAAAGCCTGAAACAATCTAAAAATCACAGTACATTAAACTACAAAGCAGCTAAGGTAAAAAGTACTGAATCAGTGGTATCATTTTCTAGGACAGAAGTTTTTCCAGAAAAAAAATGGCACTAGTTGTAGTTTCCAAACTAGGGATTCACAAAGGGCAACTTTAAGGGCTTTTCCACAGAGCACCTTTAAGTTCCTTGTCTCCTGTGCTGAAACCAGCTGGAAATGAAGCCAGTTCAAGAAATTGCAGTCTGAATTTCAATCAGTTCCTCAGCTTTGGTAACAATGCTGGCCAGATGCTTTGCCTAGGTAGTGGGTACCATGGTTCCTCATAGATGGACTGCCCCACTTCAATGCCTCTTCCACCTGTGCTGGGGAAGCAAGCACTGAGCACTTTTCTTTCTGTGGGTGGGTCTTGGAAAATATGTGATTTCTGTTGATAAGCCCTTTGTTTGAGCGTCACTATACTGATTCCCCCCTCATACCTGGCACTTTCTTATCTATCCACTGGTGGACCAGTGTGTGCGGGGGGGACCCATAGAAAACATCACAGTTTTATCATTCTTCCTGTCATGGGCTGGAAGGAGAATTTGATAGGTCTCTTGTCAATTCACTCTACAAGGAAAGGAAAGGAAAGGAAAGGAAAGGAAAGGAAAGGAAAGGAAAGGAAAGGAAAGGAAAGGAAAGGAAAGGAAA